AAATTATTCATGATCAGCAATTCTACAATTGTAGAATTGTCGATCAAATGTAGAATTGCCGATCGCATGTAGAATTAGTTCCCCCCCATCACTGGGTATGACAACATATCAGGATAGTAACGACATGGGATTCTAGCCACCAATAGCACTATGGGAAAACTGAGACACCACGAAAGAAACTGAGGAGCCCAGAACATCAAAGTGGTTTAACGGTTAGCCTAACCCTGAGTGTAAAGCCTAGTGAATGTCATGATGGACTTGTTAGAATCATAGTAGGAAACGGTAGAGTAAAAAAAAAAAGTTTTTTATAATAATAAAAAATTTGTTATTCATATTTTTATACTATTTATATTTTTCCTTTTACACTAAAACCCTTGAAGTATCTTATTTTGAAAATGGCGTTTTGGGACCACTGCTGATTTTCACTTTATTTTTATTTTCTAACTAGATATTATTTTAAGAATTGATTATAAAATATTGATCATAGTTTCGAGATAAAAAGATAAATATAATTTCGAGTTTGATTATACTAAGAAACAGGAACTGTTGAGGTTTGGTGCCTTAATATTTATATTTTAGTTTTATAGCTTTTCTTTAAAAAATTTATAAAATATATCCGTATATCATTTAAATAACAAGGCTATCACCTACAACAATAATAGCGGTAATTTTAATATTTATTATTTCAATATTCGATTAACAAATTTATATACAGGATTTAAATTTAGTAATTGTTATTATATAACATCTTTAGTAAAACTTGCTAACCACCATTTCGCCAACAACTCAGCACTAATCTATAAGTTAGTCAAATCCTAACTTAAATCGGTCAACCTTGTCTGCAAAACAGTGGTTAGCGAAATTGTTATGTATCTCTTTAGTCGCATACATGAATATATATAACAATCATTGAATTATTGCAGTATGAAATAATAAATAGGATACTCCGACTTTAATATCTTCACTTTAATTGCATTAATAATCTAAATACCAATATACAAATGAGAAGTAAATTTTTTTTATTATAAGAAATCGAATATATTACTTAATATCAGGAATTTCAACATCATCAATGCATTTACTTCCTAAAATATATACACATAAATATACTAAAACTACAATTTAAATTCAATTTAAGAAAATAAATATTATTACCTGCATTTACTATATTGACATATTTGGAAATTTTTAGTTAATATCATTAACTTTTAAAAAATATAATAAATAAATGTTATTATAGTGCCTGGTTTAGGGAGTTTTGAAAGATTCAATAATCAACTTGTATAAGTAGCTTGTGGATGTGTCTGATATTTGAACAGTGTTGATTTGACTTGGTCATGTGATAAGAAATTTTTGTCTAAATCTTTAATATCTTTAACTTGCTTATATGATTCAGTTTTTTCATTTCTCAGATTGTAAAAAAAATGGTTCAGTGTATTAGCCAATTCTTTAGCAGTTGGTCTGTTTTGAGGTTCTGCATCTAAGCATTTATTCATCAGATCCAAAAGTAATTGAGGAACTTCACATCTAATTTTAGGTC